GCCGACTCTGAGACCAAACCCTGAACCTAAAAGACAAGGAAAAGAGATTTTGATCTACAGGTACTTGTGAGTGTTTTCATGGTCCACATGTTTGAAGCATGCGACAATCACACTGGGTACACAGAAACAGGTCAAAACCATTGTGCCCCAAACCTTTAAATCAGCAAAGTGAATTAATATTAACTGTTTGAGTTAAAATGGACTGAATGATGCTCACAAACAACTCAGTACTCATTGTGCTGTGGCATGAACATGATTATTTACCACGTGCAGCTGGGCTGGTGCATGGGTGCACAATCACGCAGTCCTGAATTAGGTCGAAATGTTTACACTCAACCACAATAATCAGTTGCTTTGGGCGTTATTTGGGTTTGATTAAAATTCACCTGTCTATTACATGTATAGTTCCTTACAGGCATTACATTTAATTTCTTCTTTTGTTTTGCACGATTGTGGTACAATCAAAGAGAATCTGACATGAAATGCTTTTATGCCTCAGCAAAGTCCCTAATAATGATGACACTGGTTGAAGCACCCAGCACAGTTTCTTTATTACTTGATGAGGAACTGAAGCAAGGCAAGTTTATTTATATAGCACATTATAAGTGCTTTACATAAAAGAAAGTAAAATAATCATAAAAAAAATAATCACAAAAATAAAACAAGGAATTTAAAAACTTTGAAAATGATTAAAAAATTTATTTAAAATGAATTTAAGACAGTTGACAATAGAAAATGATTATACATAAAATACAGTGCAATCAGTTCGGACATCGCACAGTGTTCATTCAATAAATGCACAGCTAAACAGTTGAGTTTTGAGTCTAAATTTAAATGTGACTAATGTTTTAGCACATCTGGGCCCGTATTCACAAAACATCTTAAGGCTAAACTTAGCTAATAACTCGCAGATTTAGGAGAAAATCTTAAAAATAATGGGCGTGTCAGTCCTAAATTTAGGACTCCTAAATTTTTGTTCCAAGAGTATTTCACAAAGCGTTTTAGCGCTACAATTAGCTCCTAAATCTGTGAAGCACTAGGAGTAGTGAAGAGGACTCCTAAGTCACTAAGACCAAATCTGAACTATCCTAAAATGGCTGTTGCCAGCAATCTACCTCGGAATATAAACATTTTAGAAACATTTGACGATAATGAGCTTTTAAAAAGTTAAAGGCTTTGGTTTGGAGGTTATCCCAACTCCAAATTTTTTATTATATCCTTAATGTATAGCTGTTTTCGCGTCCAGTTTGGTTTTCTTTTATGTTTCATATCTTACTGTCAGCCATGATTATTCTACTCTGCTAATTAAAAGGCTGTTTATATGCATATTACCAAAATTTTATTAGTCGCTTAGTCGCCGAAAAAAAAAAATTTCCACATGAAGTGGCGAAATCACGCAGTCCGTGACGGACAAATCGTTAATGGCTGGTCTATGTGGTAATGGTAATATAGTACATCGGGCAGGACATCCATATGCTCACCTATATGGAAGCATATAGGTAGCGAAATTCAATTTAAAATGCAATATGCAAAATGGCAATGCAATATGCAAAATGACAATGCAATATTCAAAATGGCAATGTATTTCTGTATTTAAATTTACATTTTCCATTACCCATACGTGCAAAGTTTGTTGCAAAAGGAAAAGGAAAATTAAATGATATAATTTACATGTGCCATTTCCAACAGTAGTCTTAATATGTATTTGCATGCAAATTTGAATGCTTTATAAGTTGTGAAATGAAAATGAAAATGTTTAACACAAATTGATTTGATATGTGTATTGGATCGTTTGAAACATGGCGGCTGGAGATCTGATAAGATCGTTGAATTCACTGGCAGATGAAGTGGAGCGTGAACAGAGAAATATATGAAGCGTATTCCATGCCAAAATCAAACGTTCGAACGACCGACCGATCGAACCTCTACCGAACGTCTATTCGAACGTCTTGAGCTTTGAGCGTCTTACACTGCGGGTGACCCACGTGACGTCAGCATCTTGAAATTAGCTGGTTTTTAAACATTTAAGGAGCCAAGCTGCTGTGTAAAGACGTGCACTCAGAATAACAACTAAACGTTGCGCTTTTTTAAAATAATGAAAGCAAACAGGATGCGCTTTCTGCCGTCTCGGACTCTGTCAAATTATTAAAACATTAATGCAGTGTACTTGCCGTTTTTCCCTAACACATTCATAATTATTATATTTGCCGGTGCGCTGTGGCAATCCTTTTTTGCGTGCGCTTGAGCGCTTATTAGGCTATGTAGGCAATTAAAGGCTCATTATTATGATTTATATGGTTTATTAATAAAAGTACAGGCTAAACAAGAGCGGTGCAAGAATTGAGCCTTGTGGGACTCCGCATGTCATGGATGTCCACTTAGACTTATGCTCTCCTATATTCACATAATAACCTCTCCCTTCTAAGTATGACCTGAACCATTTGAGTACCATCCCAGAAAGCCCGACCCAGTTTTCCAGTCTCTCTAGAAGCATGTTATGATCAACAGTGTCAAACGCAGTACCGAGATCTAGTAGCACCAGCACTGATATTTTGCCAGAATCATCATATGGCTTATCATATGGCTTGCCTATCGGTAATATTGAAGTCTGTGATGCCATTTTCTCTGATCATCTGCCTGTTTTATTTGAGATATGTTCTCCTTGTGACTCTAAAGTGACTGCTCCAACCCGTCGCTGTCGTACGATTAATCCTTCAACTGCTCAATTGTTTTCTGAGGCTTTTAATGGCATTGATGATGATTATTCAATGTCCTCATATGGCCTTAACACCGAAGACTTAACCTCACTGTTCTTTTCAACCAGCCAAAGTATTTTGGATACAGTGGCCCCTTTTAGGATGGTTCGAGAAAAACCTAGAGTTCAACCGTGGCTGAATGCTACTACTCGAGCTGTAAGGTTTGAGTGTAGAAGGGCGGAACGCCGCTGGAAGAAGGATAAATTGCAGATTTCTTTCGATATTTTAAAGGAGAACTTGTCTAAATATCAAAAAACTGTTAGATCTGAGAAATCAAAGTATCTCTCAAATGTTATCTGTAAGAACTCTCATAAGCCAGCTGTGCTGTTCAGTACTATTAATGCGGTTTTGAACACTCCCCAAGCTACTTGTTTAGAGCCTTCTGCTGAAATGTGTGAGAAATTTTTAAATTTTTTTATCAATAAGATTGAGGCTGTTAGAGCTAATATTTCTCTCCCATTGACATTTGTATCCATTTCCACTGAGTGCTCTGCTGTTTTTAGTCAGTTTGAGCCGGTGTCTCTTACCTCATTGAGAGAGATCATTGTTAAAATGAAATCTGGGGATTGAGGGGGCGAATCCTCGACGCTCTCCACATCAACCTCCTCGGAGGAAGATAGGAGAAGCGCCGAGCCCGCTCTCCGGGGGGAAGTAGCCGCAGAACGGGCTTCCGATCCCAGCGAGCGGGCAGCGGATCTGGCAGGTGAGGAAGAAGATAGGGACTCGCCCGTCTCCATTCCCTCCACCAGATCCAGCTGCGAACCCCACGAGCGCAGCTGCCGCTCCGCCTTGGCGGAAGCGGGGCCAGCACCGTGAGGAACGCTGGTGAAGGCTCCCTCCTCAAAGAGAGCCTTCCGGGAGCGAAGCAAACGCAGTGGCGACTGCTCACAATGCGGACAGTCGGCCCTCTCGAGAGACGACACCGCGTGCTCCGCTCCCAAGCAGACCACGCACAAACTGTGTGTATCCCCGCTCGTGATGTAGCGTGGGCAGGGAGGAACACACAGTCTGTAACGCGATCTGCTTTCGCCCTTTTTTGTCTTTTGCTTAGACATGTTTCTTTCTCTGCTGGAGCTTATATTTGAATGCTTGTGCACTTTTTTGGACAGACAACAATAAATAAGACTCACAGAACATAAATCGTGACCGACACACACAGAGAGCTTTGCTGAATGACAGAAAGCTAGCGCCGGCTGCACCTCACGTGCTTTTAAAGCTTCCTGGTCATGACGTCACCCGCCGCTGACGTCTCGCCCATCGTTCGACTGATTACACATATGATTCAGAGCTTGGTATGGCTGAAGGCGTTCCCCTAGCGTTTTCTGACGCAGCTCGAGTTCCCAAAGGGGAACAGAAGTTATACTGTTTACGCCGGGAGGTACTTGTGAGTTATCAGATTTGGACCTTGGTGAATTGAAACCATTTGTGAAGCCCCATGTAAAAAATTTAGGTGTTATCATAGACTGTGATTTTAAATTGGACAAACAGATTAACTCGGTAGTTAAATCCTGTTTTTTCCAATTGAGACAACTCACCAGGGTGAAATCTTTCCTGTCTTCTAAAGACTTTCAAAGAATCGTCCATATTTTTATTTCAACTCGTCTGGATTATTGTAATGGCCTCTATATAGGTATTAGTCAGGCCTCTCTCTCCAGACTGCAGATGGTCCAGAATGCGGCAGCTCGACTGCTGACGGGTACACGAAAGCGGGAACACATCACCCCCGTTCTTGCCTCTCTTCACTGGTTACCTGTCCATTTTAGGATTCAGTTTAAGATTTTGGTATTTGTTTTTAAATCTCTTAATGGTTTAGCACCTAAATATCTGTCCGACTTGATTAAGCTGTATGCTCCGCTAAGAGCACTTAGGTCTGCTGACCATTTGCTCTTAGTTATCCCACGGGTAAAGTTGAAGAGCAGGGGTGACCGAGCATTTGCAGCATTTGCACCGAAGCTCTGGAATAGCTTGCCCTTCTACATTAGACAGGCTCAAACACTTGCTGTTTTTGCTGTTTTTATAAAAACTCATTTTTATAGTCTGGCATTTGACGCTACATGAGAGCTGCTTTCTTCTATTGTTTTATGGTGTTTTATTTTCTTTTTTTGTGTTGTTGACTGTTCGTAATCACTGACATTTTTATTCTCTTATGTGTGTACAGCACTTTGACAATCACTTGTTGTTTTTAAAAAGTGCTTTATAAATAAACTTTGACTTTGACTTTGACTGACCCCTAACCCTGACTCACTACTGCTGCAGAGTAACGAAGAGCTGCCATCAAACATTACAGAATCACGTTCACTCATTTTATTGTATGTGACATACTTTGGAGGGGTGTGTGTGTGTATTTGCAGATGGAGAGGGATGAAAAGTCTTCAAAGAAGAAACAGAAACTGGACAAAGAGAGAAAACAGTCTTCTTCCTCTCAGAAGAGCCTCCACCAATCAGAGTGAGTTACAGAAACACAGCCAATCAGAGCCTGACGTGTTTTACATACTTACTTTCCACATCTCAGAAATGAATTTAAACCAGGATCACTCAAGACTTTTTTCCATATTAATAGAAATGTATTATAAAAGTTATAATAATGATGATGGTGATGGAATGTCTGGGGTTTTATGATGCTCTTGGATGAATATCTTGACAACTACAGGTGTATCAACATGATCCACCAACTGAAAACTAATGCAATCTTGACGGTCACTAGACTGTTTTAGTGTTTCAAACTGTACAAATGTTTGGTTTGTAAAGTGTGTTTGTTTGTGCATCTTTCCTTACAAAATATCCAGTGTCATTTATTGAGCTAATGCAGTGACGTTCATTAATGTGACGCAAGCGCCAGAACTTTTCTGATGTGGAATGGAAAGAGTCTCTGTCTGATAGACGCCGATCTGAACGCTCTTCATGTTTCCATCAGAGCCGTCGGGAACAGCGACAAGATGATGATGAAGAAGAAGAGTGTGAAAAACAGCTCAGGTCTTCCTCAGGACAGAGACGGCCAGCGGAAGAAAGCAGAGACTCATGGGAAGGTACTGCAGATATCCTCACTTCAGATTTCTCCTGGGATTACTGCTCTGATGTAATGAACTGTTTTTATTACTCAGAAAACCGGCAAGAGCCACAAGGAGCTCCTGGAGAAACCTCCTGCGGCCAAACCACGAGCGCTGCTGCCCGATCGCAGGTGCGTGCCGCTGCTTTATTTCACAGAAATCACACCGAGTACGTCTGTGAACATAGAGCGATGTGATACGAGTGATGAATGTCAGCTGAAACGCAAACAACAAGTGTCTTTTAGGCTTCGTCACTCGCCACGTGCATAGTGTTTCTCTGATTGACCTCTGACCTCTGGTTCCCAGGAAACTCTCTGTGGAAGATCATTTGAAGGAAGCCAAAAAGCTGAAGCACAAAGCAGATGCTACGGTGTTTATCAAGCCTTCGGTTGAGTCTGCTGTACGGTGAGCTCCACGCTCGCTCTGACACACGTGTTTCTCTGTTCCTCAGCCGGATAAGATGGCTAAAGCGCTGTGCTATCTGGAGGCTGCGCTGTCGTTCACGGAGAGCGCTGTGGCCATGCAGACGGAGCCGCAGACGCCCAAATCTGCCTACACCATGTTCTCGGAGACGGTGGACCTGATCAGGTGAGATAACAATGACAGCAGTAGTCATATATTGTAAAACAACTGCACTGTTAAATGAAAATTAATATTTCATCGGTATATTATTTTTGCTTTACACTGCAGCAGGGAAAGTACAATACTTCTTTCCTAATTTCTACACTTCAAAGAGATATTTTGACATGTGATAAACAACGTGTGATAAACGAGTGGACTGCATTCATTCAGTGTGAACGAGTCGTTCTGAGACGCAGAAAACACCGGATCACGAGCTGATCGTCTGAACCAAGTGTGCGCTTCGCTTTGAAACAAGCAGCAAAAACAGACTTGATGAAGCATATTGTGCTTTCGGTTTGAGTTCGTTTGACAGATACTGTGCCAAAGCATAATGCCCCAAAACACAACTTTAAA